TCTTTTTGAGGGTCTTACTATGCAGTTCAGGCTGGCCCTGAGCTCAATTTGTACCCAGGCTGGCCTTGAACTCTTGAAGATCCTACTGCCTCAGCCTCCTGAGTGCTGGAATTACAGGTGTGTGCCACTACACCGTGCACTAGAATTGGGTATTGAATCCAGGGCTTTGTGCATTTTAGACAAGTGCTCCAATACTGTGCTATATTCCCAGCCCCATAATAATATATCTTAATTAAGGCCCCTTAATCTTAGTACCTAATTGCTTCATACTTTGTGGGGTTTTTTGTTGTTGTTGTTGTTTTGTTTTGTTTTTTGTCTTTTTGAGACAGGGTCTCACTCTGCAGTTCAGGCTGGTCTTGAGCTCACTTATATAGCCTAGGCTGGTCTTGAACTCGAAATGATCCTGCTGCCTCAGCCTTCTGAGTGCTGGGATTATAGGCCTGCACTAACACACTTGGCCTGCTTCATTCTTTTTAATAACACATAATTTTTTTTTTTTGAGACAGGGTCTTACCATGTAGTTCAGGCTCACCTTGAACTCACTGCGTAGCCCAGGCTGGCTGGGAACTCATGGTAATCCTCCTGCCTCAGTCTCCCCAGGACTGGAGTTACAGGTATGCATCATTACACCTGGTTTAAAACATAATGTTTTGTTTGTTTTTTTATTTGTTTTGAGACAGGTATTGCTATGTAGTCTAGGCTGGCCTTGAACTCACTATGTAGCACAGGATGACCTCGAAGTTGCAGTGATCCTCCTGCCTCAGCCTCCCAAGTGCTGGGATTCCATGCGTGTGCTACCATGTCTGGCTAACACATAATATTTAACTGTGCAGTTGTAGCTTTATTTATTTATTTATTTATTTTTTTTGTCTTTTTGAGACAAGGTCTTGCTATGCAGTTCAGGCCAGCCCTGAGCTCACTTTGTAGCCCAGGCTGGTCTCGAGCTCCCAACAATACTCCTGCCTCAGCTTGCTGAGTGCTGGGATTACAGGTGTGTGCCACCACACCCAGCTCAGTTGTAGCATATTTAGCCAGCCCCATTCCAGCTCCAAACTTTAGCTAGGAAAATAATGCTGAAATTAATATTCTAGTTTTTTTTTTCTTTCTTTTTTTTCCACTGGCTTCAAATATTAAGAGAAAAACACACTGCTGGCCCCGGTGGAAATCTTTGTAAGATGACTTCCTGCATAGTGAGACCCTGTCTCAAAAAGAGAAAGAAAGAAAGAAAAATTTGAATATTAGAATATTCTAATGTTCTAATATGTTTTTCATTACCTATGTATTATAGCAGAAAATGCCCCCCTCCAGCCAGTACACTTCAGGTTTTGTTTGTTGTCCAGGTAACAGTTCCTGTTACTACCGTCTCCTAAAGATGGCTGGTCACTGTGATGCATATTGTCAAAACCAGTCAAAGCCTGACATTTTTTTCTTGAGGTCAGTGCCCGTCAATGTTAAATAAATCTGCTTCTAAATCCTGGGTGTTGTTTCAGTGTTTCTGTTGCCATAGCAGCACCAGGAGATAAATTTCAGAAAGTGGGATTGCTTGTGTATTTATTTAATTATTTGGTGCTGAGGACTGAACACAGGGCCTTCACACTGAACATCATCATCTCAACCCTTTTTAAAAATTTTTTTTTTTTTTCTGAGACAGGGTCTTGCTAGGTTATTGAGTCTGGGTTCAAACTTGTAGTCCTCCTTCTTTAGCCTCCCAGAGTGCTGTGATTACAGCCTTCTGCCATCACGCCTGGCTGTATATTTAATTTTTTGATAGATATTGGGGTTGCTCCTCTAAAGCAGCTCTACTGACGGTTATAAGTTTTCCCTCCAGCCATGTGGAGCAGGGCCTGTTTCAGACACTTTTGTCCACTTGAGCTATTTTGGTTTTTTATTTATTTATTTATTGTCTTTTTGAGACAGGGTCTCACTATGCAGTTCAGGTTGGCCTTGAACTCACAATGATCCTCCTGCCTCAGCCTCCTGAGTGCAGGGGATTACAGGCGTGTGCCACCATGCCCGGCAGCAATTATGGGTTTTTAAATTTGTCTTACCAATCTGGTAGGTGGAAAGTGGTCTCTGCTAGTTCTTCCCTTGCAGTGCTGAGGACTGAACCCAGGGCTTCCTGCATGGTAATCAAGAGCTGTACCACTGAGCTACCATCCCAGTCCTAGTTTTGCCTGATTTTTTTTTTTTTTTTTTTTTGCTTTGTTTTTTTTCCGGTACCGGGAATTGAACTCACGACCTTGTGCTTGCCAGACAGGCGCTGTGCCGCTGAGCTAAACCCTCAGCCCCTCCTCCTAGTTTTGATTTGTATTATTTTATATTATCTATGCATGGAAGCATTTAAGACAGAAACTCAGAGCCAGTAGTAACTGGTCCTACTCAGACTGAGTCCCAGTGCACAGGATCCACATCCTGCAGTCAAGAGGTGGCTGTGATACAGGGGAAATGAATGTAGCTCCCAATCTGCTAGATGTCAGCTATGCTGAGCTTTCCTGTGGCTTACATTTACATCTCGAGTACAAGAAAGGAAATTCTGACCATTTCCCCTCTCTCTCTCTTTTTTCTTTTGTCTTTTTAAGACAAGATCTCGCTATGCAGTTCAGGCTGGCCTTGAGCTCACTTTGTAGCCCAGGTTGGTCTTGAACTCACAGCGATCCTCCTGCCTCAGCTTCCTGAGTGCTAGGATTACAGGTGTGTGCCACCACACCTGACTCTCCCCCTGTCTTACAGTATAATTCTAGTTGTGAAATAGCATCATAATCGAGCCAGGCATGGTGGCACATGCCTGTAATGCCAGCACTTGGGAGGCTGAGGCAGGTGGATCGTTGCGAGTTCGAGACCAGCCTGGGCTACAAAGTGTGCTCAAGGTCAGCCGAACTGCATAGTGAGACCCTATCTCAAAAAGACAAA